ACAGTCCAAGCTGTGGTCTGTGATCCCAGGAGGCTCTGTGGGCTACATCTGAAGAGGGTCTCAAAGCCATTCTTAATGTGCTTCAGCTAAAAATAGACCTAAATGCATCCCATTTAAAAAATACGTCACTGGTTTGTGAGGATTTGAAAACCTGTCTGCATCACAAAGAGATGCTAATACCATCTTTGCCTCATTAATGCTAATTCTAACTTACAACTCTGAAAAAACTCCAAAATGCAAGAACTGGTAGTTTTTGATAATAACAATAATTTGTATCCCCTTCCAGTAAGGCTGTAGTGCAATATCTGTAGACATAATGACTTGCAGACCTTTTAACCTTCTTCATGAACTATATAGAGATGCTCCAGTATTTCCCCCCACCAATGCAGAACACATCTGTATTGACACCCTTCCACACACAGGTCCCCTGTAATGGATTAGAGAAAGCTCTGGCCCTTTCACCCATACTGAACTAACTTCAGATTGTTGATGGGGGCATGCCTTACGCTGAGTCTGGTCTACCACCAATCTAATGCCTTGAAAAAGAACGTTGATTTTTTTAATCCTTTGTAGTTTAACTTCAGCTGGCAAACAGAGCAAAACAAATGACAATACCACATTTGGCAAATAAACATTAAAATAAGAACAGGTGATTCATCACACAAACACAAATCCAGCTGACACAGAAGAGAAGAAAAAGAAAGAAAAAAAAAAAATAAAATTAGGCAATGAGGTAGAACCCAGGCTAACTCAGGCAATGTTTGCCCTTTCGGTTAGGTATCAGAACTACTCAGATGATTTCCTGTCTTTTCCTGCAAACCACAGAGGATCGAAATGGTAAAGGGAGAGTGCCGGGGTGAAATTTTGTGCTATTCCTAGAACCATCTGCTTTTTCTTTTTTTTTTTTTCCCCTTCATTTCATAGAATTCAGCTGTTCTTTGTTGCACAGAAATAAAAGTTCAGTTTTGAAAATATTCATGAACAAAGCTGTAAAAATTGCCTGTAATTTCCTCAATTTTCAGCCATCTGGTTTTCATTGCTTTGATTCTCACTTCACTACTCCATACATGTTTACCAAAACTTTTCAACACGCTTTGACCAAATTATTGAGCAGTTATAATTAACAACAGAGTTACAACATCTCTTTCACCCCTTTGGTAGAGCTTGTTGGCTCACCATGAGGTGATCATGCTGTTGCTCTTATAAACAAGAACAATTATATCTGATTAGATGATGACTGCCTCTGTAATTCAGGCTGTGGAGGCTGAGGAAAAGACACATTTTGCATGTGAGTCATTTTGTTGCTGAAAACAGTCAAGCTAACATTGAAACAGGGTTCTTCTAATTGTTTGGGTTTTTTTTTTTTTTGGTAGTTTAGAATACTAACATAGCAATTAGCAAAACTGAGTGATCTTCTCTTTTGTCTTTTTCACTTAGAGAAGAAACTTCTAGACACTGAACAGCTATTCTGAGTTTACTTCTGGAAGACTGTGCTCTGTTCAGTTATTGCTATGTAATTTTTCAAGTGGTACAGCTTGATTGACACAAATTAAGTAATGACTGAATGACTGAATGAAAATTGTCGTAGTCTTCATTCCTCTCTTTCCTGCAGGAAGCATGCTGGCTCTCCTAGTTCATCAAAACAAGCTACATCCTTTTCTAGAAATATTAAACTAAGTTAATGGCAACAAATTTTACTCTCTAACTATTGTGTTGAAAGTCAGTTATTAGCTCCCATCTTAGCAATCAGCTCTGCAGTGTTTCCCATTTTCTTAATTCAGTTCAAAATGGGAAATTTTGTTACACTGCCTTCCAGGATAAGAGGGTCTGGACTCTTTTTCTGCTATTGTTCTTGAAGCAATAAGCAAAAAACTCTCAACAAAATCTGAAACCTCAGGAGACTCAATTGGGATTTGAATATGGAGGAAATCTTCCAATTTTTTGTGTGCAGCTCTTCCTGATTCCTAATCTTCTGTAAGTATTTTTCTGACTCCATACAGCTGTGAGTATCTGAAGACAGATTTCTGTGGTTTAGTTTTTGTCTCTCTTCCATGTACTCAGAACAGTAATGTCCTAAGATATTAAGCCAGAATTCCAAAGAAAATTTCAAAGCATTCTCAGCTGCTGTACAAGCACCATCGTCTCTCAGTATTTTCATAAATGTGAAGTATATTGCCAGGATGTTTTACCTTTTACCATATTCTGTTCCAAAATTACAGATTGAAAAGGCTGATGACACCATAGATTAATTTCAAGTATTAAGTGAGTAAGGAAGTTTTCTAATCTATACACATCTATTTTCAGTAAGGAACAAAATGAACAGTAACCCAGTTACTGTGCAGATCCTTTTAGTATCATTCTTCTAAAGTGTCCAAAAGAAAAAAGATGGCTCAAAACCAGAATGAAATTACTCTTCACCTACTACTTCTACAATTTCTTTCTCGAGGGCTTTTCTGACCCTCCAGAAAGGCTGATGAGATTCTGTAGTTCAGTGCTTTTGTCTATCTATAGTAAAACAGCTAAAACAATTGTTTACATAGTACAGGACTAGCGCTTTGAGAGGCTGCAGAGTAGCCTCCCATGTAACCAAAAATGCCCGTAAGCAGAAGCAGCATTAAGCTCTGCAGTTCTAACATTTAAACGTTCTCCCTAAGCAAGATCTTTAACTGTACTAGATTTTAGACATAATCATTAAATTCTAAGCATGCTGGGTTGCTTAGGTTCAAGAAATGTCACTTCTCTAAATACATATGGAGAGAATTTTTATTCTCTTGGGCAAGGCTTCTCAGCCTTTTCTTCATGCTGTGGACAATGTTTCCTTGCCTCCTAGACATTCATCACAGTCTCAGTTGCCTTTTCAGTGGAATGCCTCCTCTACACACAACAACTGCATACTCTAGCAGTCACTTATACATCAAGAATATTTTAGGAAAGTGGTTTTTATAATTTTAGCTTCTGTTAACGCACTTAAGCAGCTGGAAAACAGAGAGAAGAGCCAACACTATGAGACCAGCCAGCTCTCTCTATAAGTCATCAGCAAGAGCTCTGGGAAGTATCAATGGTTCACAGATTTTGTAAACTCCTGTAGAAGAGATCTAAGTTCACAGCCACAGTGTATTATAATTCTTGGACTTGTCAGTGGGTAGAAATGCCTTCATCAGCATACATGAGGACATGATTTTAGCCTAAATTTTCATCAGACTCCTGGATCAAAAAATTTTTAATTAGAATTCTGAAGTATCTTATGATTTAAACAAGGAGAAAATCTTGATTTGAATAAATAGTCATTTACTTGTTCCTTCTTAAAAAAAGTATTAGAGTGGCTGTAAATAATGATTATAAAGCAAAAGATTTTATACACTCTTTCATTAATATACCATTGTATTTAACACAGTGACAATGCTAGGTGTAGCACTTCAGAAACACGAAGGAAATAAGATAATTATCCCATCACAGCCTGCCTGGGAGACACATCAACTTGCTTTGTTGCCTCTCTTTCCATTAGCCGCGCTGCCTGCAGTCTGCAGGCCTGCTTGCTCTGACCAGAGGAACAGTTTTGCAGAATAGGTGCTGTTCTTCATCCTGGGCCTGCAGACAGGCAATTTCCTCCAGACTGAGGGGACTTCAGGAGAAGTTGTATATACAGGGCAGAGAGTAATTTCCCCTCTTCTCAGTTGCAGCCCTAGGGGTGGATTAAAGCTGCTTAGTCTTCCCCCTCTGCAGCAATCCCCTTTCACCTTCGCTTCACAAGCTGATTCTCACCTACAGAATGATCCTCTTGTACTCCACTGAGGGAAATGCATACCTATGGCTGCTTTAAAGTAGCTCCACTCTGGTAGCAAGGTTACCACAGAGCTATGGATAACCATGCAGATTAATTCGAGGAGTATTCACACAATTACTCAGATTACTTTTGTAACAAAAGTCATAAATACTGGCTTACAGGATTTTGCTTTTTCTTAACTACTGAGTACTTATTTTTCATGTCAGAATTGGTGGTTGTTCAATCTTCTACCATGCACTCGTAGCAGCACTGATGCTTCTACCTATGAATAACCCCAAGAGTTCCATCTACAAAGTAATTTTTTCAAACGTTTATATAATATTTCTATATTATTTCCAGCACTAAAGACTATTTAACAAAGTTAGTGTTGCAGTATCATCATAAGCAGTACTTGTAATGCTTTGGTAAAGAAATTTCAATCTATTTGCGTCTGCCTGTTACAAATTCAAAATCCTGATTACTAACCAAACTGTTATTTATGTCCTTATAATTATTTCATCGTGGCTGTCTTTGATTTTTAATGTGAACCTTCTCTGTATATCCCAAATCTACTACTATTCATAAAAACGTACCTCTCTGTAGCATGTTGTCTTATAAATCATACATACACCTATCCATAAATGCTCTAAGGTATATCTACCACCTGGACAGCGCTGAGTGTTTTAAACAGTCCAAAGTTATATGTAAATGTATTTAAAATCTGCTGCAGTGTCACAGTGGAGCAAATGCACCTGCGTACAGCTGGGAAAAACGACAATATGTATACAGTACATCCTATAGACTTGACAGGCCCTATTTAAATAAACCATAAGAATGTCATAAAAGCTATTTTCTGTTGTTGAGGGTGAAGATGTGAATCTCTGCAGAGAAAGATCTGTTGTTTTAGGGTCATGACTGTGGAAACTGCCTGAGGCCAGGGACAAGCAGATTCTGCGAAACCTTTTCTGAGATGAGAAGTTGGAGAAGTCTCTTTAAACTTGGCAAAACTCTGGGTAAAGTTAAGCCAATCCATAAACTGTTTACTTGAAGGACCTGCAGAGGCAAACAGTCTGAAGTCTGCCCTTTGGTCTCACTGCTGCTTTGTACTTGCTGGTCAATATGATTGTGGCAGGAAGAGGGTGTAAGCCCCTGCAGTCTAAGAAAGGCATGCTTGAGGCAGTGTGTTCCTCCAGACTGAAAGGCAATAGAGTTTGGGGTCACTTAAAATTACGCCTACCTTGGGGGGCAGGGGTCCAGGCTACAGGACTTCAGCAGCTGTGGAGGACGACGGCTGCTAACACACAGTGTTTCATCTGCAATCTCCCTAGTCTGTTTGTTCAGACAGGTCACCACAGCCTCCTGGACACCTGCACACAACAAACAATGGTCACAACCAGCTCTCTGTACCTGCAGGGGCAGCCAAGGCCAGCCGCGGGCCAGCAGGACCAGCAGGGCTGCAGCATGTGGGGACACCCAGCCTCGGGCTGTGCAGCCCCAGCTGCACACTCGTCATTGCTTCCAGGCTAGCTGAGAGGTTTCTCAGTGCTGCAGGGAATAGTCCATGGATTCATTCACTGCTCACCTCCCTGGACAGAACATTGTCCAGTGCCCTTATTTTTTCCCTTTTTGCATAAAGTGCAATGAGGCACTTTATTTTTCAGGCCAAGCAAGTTAAGGTGTGAAGATGGCCATGGCTTTCACATGCTGTATTTTAACCAACATTATGACTTGCAAAAGCAAAGTAAAACGTGGTCAGACAATTCAGCTCTTCTCAGTTTACTCTTCTGCATCCACGGGCCTGCACCCAAACTAGAGATGCAAACCCACAGAGTATATTTGAGAGTTGGGAAAGAACAGGTTAGAGAGACCTAGGAAAGAACAGCAGCTGTTGGGACTTAGAGAAACTGGAAGATTTGGTTATTATAGTTTTACTCAGAAAATCCTTGCTACAGCCAAAATCCTTATGTAGTATATGGCATACCAGTTACTCCCACTTTTCCTATGACTAGGGGCATCACAGGCTTTTTGGATCACAAGGTTAGAAAGCTAGAACATAGGGGAGTGCAACATTACATGCCACATGGAAGAGGATGGATGAGAAAATATCTATTTCCCCATGGATAAAAGGGGTCTGAGAGGGTCTGAGGATAATAATTGGCCTGAACTTCCTGAGAATCTGATCCACAGGTTCAAATACAATGAAAGTATGGTTTTTCATTCATTCCTGAGACCTGAGTTAGGAAAAGACTGAGCTCCCACCAATTGCATTAGTTTCAAAAACACCACTTTTTCAAAACATCTCACAAATATTTAAAGATGCTAATGTGAAGGGAAAAAAACCCAAACCAAGACAAAGTGTTGTAAGACCTTAAAGACCTCCAAAAACATGTCAGAGAGTTAACAATATATTCTGGTATTTCTAATTACAGAGCATGTCATTAGGCAAAAAAATTATTTCCTATCCTTCAAGAGGACCAAAGTGCTATATAGCTGATCACAGTGTCTGTATTCCTGACATTATTCACAAATTCATTCTCCTTAATCTCAGTATAGGCTGAGGCCCCCAGAAAAGAGGCTTGTTAACAATTTTTTGGCTGCTATGTGTGTCGGCCTATTAAGATCATGGCTATGGCACCAGATTGTGCAGTGTGTCTCCCATATACCAGATACCAAAAAAAAGAAAGAAATATGACAGTTTTGGACATGGAGATCAACATCAAAATTGCCAGTCAGTCACCAAAGCCAGTGCTGTTGGTGGTTCCCTTTTCTACAAGGTGGCCCTATATTTTCAATTTGGTTACTCAAGTCATCTCTCCAAAGACTTATAAAAAATGTAAAAAGGGTAGCCTAGTAAAAAGACAGAACTAATGGTACTGATTTATATTTAGGAAAAGAAACTTACAAAACTTATATATATGAACAAGATGTTCACTGCCCTGTCATGTTCATTATTTTTCTAGCTCAATCATTTTTCTGTTGAGCATGTAATCATATTGTGTGCAGCAAGCACAGGCATATGGATTCTCCAGAATGGAATGCTCCTGGCTGAAGAACAGAGGTGCTTCTCTACCTGATGGGAAATGGCACTGTGTTCAAACTACTGGTTTCTATTTTGCATGGAACATCTGTGCAGGCCTGATATCGAGAACAATTGGATGAAGCCAAGAAAGAAGGGCTGCTGATCCAGAGGTATGGAAACCACGAAAGTATTTTTCCAGACTCTGTGGAAAGAAACTATAGATTCCTGCCTCATGCTGGCTGACGTGTTTCTGTTTGCTAGGTAGACAGCTCACTCCCTTTCTGTATGTCCTCAGATAAAGTTTTGTAAACTGAGTGTACTTCCACAGCTTCAGATTTTTCTCTCTGAAGGGTGTCACCAGGGAGCTCTTGAACAATTATTATCAATTTAATACTTCTCCATTGCCTGTTTTTTCAATGTTGAATACTGAAAAGTGATGACTATGAGGTCTTGAATTCAACCTTTTCTCAATTTCTCAAGCTGATGGTTACCAAATTCATATAGCTAAGCTCTGATGCTACTGTTCTTCAGTTTTCGGTATCCAATCATCCTTAAACCTTACAGTAAGTTCATTCCTCAGGCTTATTTCTTTCATCTAAGTCATCTCTGATTGCAATTCCAATAATTCTTGTCCATACTACAGGTATTCTAGTCTATTAAAATTTCTTTTTATCTTTGACAGGTCCAGTAATCTAGTCTGACAGCACAGATATCAAATAAAAGGGTTCCTGTCTGAATATGACTGCTAGAATGTTTACTGACACTTTTTTGCTTTAACAGCTTGTACCAGAAAACAAAAACACAACCCAAACCAAACAAAAAACCCCTGAAACAAACAAAAAACCCCCCAAACAAAACAAAACCCAACCAAACAAGCAAACAAAGCAACAAAAAGGAGAGAGAGAGATAAAAAAATCTGGCTAGCTCTAGCAGTAAAAAATGTTATCAGAATTACTTTCTTCAGCTTCCTCTTGAATCTCACACTAGTGTGTCTCAGCATAATGACAATAACTGTCCATCTATTTTTGATATGTCAATGTGGCAAATGGTTACAAGCTTTAAATTAGGGTGGCTCATTGAACATTTAGAAAATATAAACACTTTTGATCATAAATCAGAAGTTCCACAGCACAGAGTGAATTTATAAAAAAGTATATGAATTTCAGGGAGTTCATTTGCCAAGTAATTGAATTCAAAACATTATTTACTGCACAATATGATTAAAACAAAAGCTGTCTGCTTTCAATTGCTTTTCTTGGGAAAAAAAAAGAAATCAGTTCTCAATAGGAAATCACAGTATAAAAATGTGGAATGGTGGGGTGTGAATCTAGGCAGTCTAAGCTCACTTTCAAAACATCATCAAATGAGAATTCTATGTTTATATCTACCAGGACAAAATAATTGTTACATGATATTTGATGACAGCTCTGGGAAATGAAGCCACCAGCAGTAGACTACATGACTAACTCATTCCTTCTGGTTGCTACTTCTGGGAGGTGAAAGGTTACTTCTGCATCTATCCAGTTTCTTCTCCCAGGACTCTAAACCCAACAAAATTAGTTTGACCAGTCTTGCACCTACAGCTACAAAAATATCTGACTTAGCATCTGCTGATCGGGTAAATTTGGAGTTGATGTCAGACAAAAAAGAAATCTTAGCTACAACTTTTTGCTGAAAATTGAGAGATTAACTTTATAAAGAAAAATGTCTCCTACAAATCAGTCTCTGTTAGTTACATTTGAAAAATACAAGCATGAGCTCTATATTCTAAGAAATTACTTCATTTCAAGAGGATTCTTCTAGGAACTGTTCAGGTTTTGGTAGTCACAGTAAAAGTGTGATGAATTGTTTCTGCATGCCAGTAACACCAACACATGACATGTACTCTTGTAACATCAGTCATCAGTGTTTCTCACCACTTAGCATACACTAGTGTCTTCTTTTTTTTTTTTTTTGTTTTTTTTGTTTTTTTTTTTTTTTTTTTTTTGTTGTGTAGGAAATAAAGGAAAAGTTTCAGTAGTCGGAGAGCTGTGAACTACTCTAAATATTGACTACCATCAGCAAACCAAAAGCAAGCACAGAAAACCTCTGCATTATTTTCTACTAATTGAGGTTTTCGAGACTATAACCGATTACCGGTGAATCTGTACCTATTATTAACTCATAAAATGCTGAGTTTTTTTCAGTTCTACAGTATTTATTTTGAATTTTTCTACAGTAATCCTTTCTTAAATCACCTGAAAGCTGTAAAGTAAAAAGACAAGAGCTGGAAAACTCTAGGTTTAATTAAAAAGACACAGGACTGGACATATTTCTCAGAACTAGTTAGATAAAATGATGGGGAAAAAAAAAGATATCAGAAATGTGTATTAACAGTCTATGGTATGTACAACCTGAGAACTTGATTAACTTTGAGAAATTACAATTGCCAAGCGTGCTTGTTGCAGACAACCACATAATTAGTGCCATTCTGACGTAAGTTTTCTTTTGCACTGGGATAGGAGCTGATGCCCCTTATTGATAGGAGATAGGGAATGGCTGAGCCCTTAAAATATCCATTATTTTTTTCATCTGCAATGGGAGGACAATTTACTTCCATATATTTTTGCTTGCACAGAGCAAACCAAGAGATAAGAACTAAAAATTATCTGTGATTGTTAGCATGTACCATCAGACCCCTTTAACATTTAGCTTTTTTTTCCTGATTGCCTTTGGTTGATCAGTTGAAAAAGGAAACAGAAATACGTGATAAACTGAGCACTCTCAGTGAGAATCTGAGCACAGATCTGGAAGTGCTGGGCTAAAATATGTTGTGCACATGGGATTTTATGCATTCCTTATCTTGCCTTTTCAAACATGTTTGGACTCAACAATCTCAAAGTTTTATGTCCTTCCTAAATGATTCCATGATTCTAACTAGCCATAGCGAAGCATTATGTCCATGGGTATTAAGTGTGAAGCACACACTTGAAGAAGGAAAACAAATCCAGCACAGAAACGTCTTGCACTTACCTCCTCCACAGGACTCTGAGCACTCTGTAAAGCCTTCATACTCCCAGTCATAGAGCTCATCGAGCTCCTGCAGGCTGCCAGACAAAAGCTGAGTCTCCTCTGGTGTGTATTCCGCTGCCTCCCCGCTGCAGGCACCAGTGTAACAGGCTCTGTGAGACACGGGTTTGGGACCTTCACACTCATCCATGGGCAGATCTGCCACAGACTGAGAGAAAGAGAGGAGCACTTGGCATTTCACAAGCCGCATCTGGCTGCCTACTCCACAGGTGACACTACAGGTGGACCATGCCTCAGGAATAAACCTGTGAGAGGAAGAGAGCAAGGCAAGTTATGTCCACAAACTGCCAGGGAAGCAAAAGCAGGATAGCCCTATATAGGTAAAATTTTATTTAATGAAAAACAAGTACTTCATCCCATCACAGATTTATTAAAAACTACACACAGGAGGTTCTATTGACAGCTCAGTGGCAGGTCTCTTCATATCCAAGAAGTAAGACAAGCCCTTGTAAGATCCACCTTGATCCTAAAACATCTCAGTGCAAGGCATCTAGCAATCTCCCAATGTGCCCAATGTACATAATGGTCCCACTGGCTACCTTTTTCAAGTATTCAAACTAGATAATATTTGCCTTAGTTGTTAATTTTTTTTCACTAGTAAGTATTGAGCAGGCTGCTGTTATCTGGTAGTTGCAGAACTACATGGAAAATAATTTCAATTGTTTTTCTTGTGTCACAGGAACTGTTTTTAAGTCTTAATTTGAAGCTAGCAAAAGGTGAAGAGAATTCATAATATCTTAAGCTTTTTTTGTTGTTGTTTGTTTTTCTTTTAAAATTTACATAAATGCAATTTAAAAAAATCTAAATAATTTTTTTTCCCCACAGGACATTTACCTTTCTCTCATTAAAAAAAAACCACAACAGTGTTTAATTTCTGTTGTGGGTTTGCTTATCTGTTGCACTTGTCTTACTGATCAGTAACCCTTATATGCTCCAAATTTTTCCTTCTGGAAGTCCATGAATATTTTATTAAAAGCACTTTGCAGCTGTCATTACAGTAAAATAGACTGAATTCCACCTCTTGTTATTTTCCTCAGAAATGGAATAATTTCTCAGTTTCTCTGTGTCGTCACTGCTTTTTCAATGTCAGTGCTATAAACTGGACTAGCATTTTACTCAAAGTTATCAAGCCTAAGATTCACATCCCATATATATACCATATCATTACTACTCTGTTGCAGTAATGTAATAACACACCTTTGTTTGCTGAGCTCATGCTGAACTAAGCTGACTCCTAAATCTATGCAGAAACAATAGTTTCAGGGCACTCGGTGAATAACCTGCAATACCTGTGCTTTGCTACCTGATGTCAGTGGCATTGGAGCACTGATGCAAAGTTATGAAAACAGGGTAATTTAGATGGCTTTATCTGACTGCCTTGCCTTCTCCACTGGCCACTCTCCAAAACATTCTGCCTCAGGCAAGTTCTAAGGCAAGGGTTGTAGATGTACTTCAAGGACTAGAACGAATGAATGGCTGGATCTGGCACCGATCCTCGCTGAACCTCACAAGAACAATCCCTGTTGATAACACCCCCTCATTAACAATAAGTGTTTGGAATCTGTCTGCTTCTGCAAACTCAGCTTTTGGGATGTGTTTTTCATGGAAACCTGGCTGTCACTGACAGTATTCATCTTCCTTTGGTCTTTATTTTGACAGGCCACACCAGAGTTGGACAGCTTTGAGCAGGGCTAAAGGCAATATACCTGTCTGTTTCTGCTATGGTCTGGGGCTCTAGCAAACTCATTTCTTACCTTGGAAGTGGAACCATAGGAATCCCACTAACAGTTTTGATAGGAAGAAAAGGGATATTTAGCTTTGGGATCAGCATATTTGAAAATATTTTTACACTCTTCTCCCTTTCATCCCCTGCCTTTCTCTCGCTGACAAAAGGACTTTCCCTTCATGCTGAAGTTAAAAAAATCCAAAACATAAAAGGGAAGCCAGTGTTTTCCCAGGATGTATATATCAGGATCCCTGAATGGAAGATCACAGTCTTTTGGAGCAGGGAGTGTGCATCTCTTTACCCACTTTTTGTGGGTCTTTATAAAATCTTGTTATAAACCTGACATCTGCTACTAGAACTATACATGGAAAGTAGTAGAAAGGGAAGAAATTAATTGCAAATATTATTGTAATATCTGAAAATATTTCTAATGCTGCTACAAAGACTGAGATAATTCTTTTAGGAGCAAAGTTTTTGGGAAACTCATTATGCAAACTGGTTCCATTTTCCTACTCATAAGACATTTTAACTTAAAATATCAGTCTTGTTTCCAAGATGCTATCTTTAAAATTTTGAGAGGATTTTACACTTCAGCAACACAGGCAAGCCACTATAACTGCAGCTGCTGAAATTCTATTTTGATGCAGAAAATCTCCTTTCAGAGATTAAGCAGTTACGCATCAGCCACTGTCACTTAGGTATTTTGACTAGTTGAAATGTACACCTTCTTAACCTGGTAAACTGAGAGGTAGAAACACTAACTAGATTATGGGGAAAAAAAAAGTCCAGGTCTTCATCAGAAGCTGTCTTTCTTATAGTTTTGAACACTGTAAATTGTTCTGTAACTTTGCTTTGTTGAAGAACTCCTGTACTCCAAACCAAAAGGGAGGATATTCTTGAAGGTATTAAAATTACTAATTTAGAAAAACAGAGATACTTAAAATACTTGGAATATTTACACATGACATGTATCATACATACAAACGTGGGAAAAAAGGGAGAGGACACAAAAGAAAAGTAAAAACATTACTAAAGAAGACTGGATCCTTTTTAAAATGGCGCCTGATCTATAAATGCCAGCTATTATATTATTTCACCCAAGTCAGCAGGAATTTGGTTTTTTAAAGCTATCTAGGCTCAATTTCTACATTTTAAGTTCTCACATTGGAAATGTGATTTAATTCTAATATAACTGTTAGCTGGTAAAGAGAATATTAGCTGGCTCAAAAGAGTTAAAAGCAGAAAAAAGAGGGGAAACTCATTAAACCCTGCAAAGAAATCTCCATATAGTACTGGTCATTACAAATGGAACATTTATGTAAAGTGAATGTGTAACATAAATCTACAATGTATCTAAATTTTCCACCATCCTAACACCAGAAAATTATAAAGGTTTTCAAAGATCTTTGTGTTGTCATTAATGACAAATGTTGCCAAATGGTGAGCACAAACCACAAAAAGTATATGAATAAGAAGGAGACAGTTCATGGATTTGAAGTTATTTGTCCTGCATATAGCTCGTCTTCCACTGCTCAGCATTAGGCATTTCTGTATGCTAACCTCTGAGTAACCTAGAAAATGGAAGTAGTGGAATAGATATACTGAGAAGTACTTTTTAGAGAATGGGAAATGACTGAGGTGTTTCATTTGTCATTCCATATTGTTTAATTAAATTCCACTGAAATAATTGTCCCTCTAACAACAACCCTAATAAACATGCCAAAGGCACTAACTCATTCCTTCAGCTAAGGACTGATTTATACTCCCCTCCATACAGAAACATATACGTAACTGGAGAAGTCAGAAGAGAATTCAGAAGACAACGTCAATGCTCAGCAGTGGGAGACCTTTCAGAGCAGGTCACAGTGGGTTCAGGGTGAGACCCACGGAGAGTTCTGCTGAGTGTTTCAGAGATTTTCAAAATTCTTGATGCATGCAGCATCAGCCTCTTCTGTCTAGGACATGGTTTCCTACAATATGTTATGAAGAAAAACAAGTGTATACATACTGGTGTGCTTTGAGCTATGGAGAAAAATAGCTAATTTTCTTCACTGCGACATAATTACATATTGCCCTTAATTTTGATTGCTTAATGGTTTTTCTGTTTGCTTTTCCCCTTCTTGCTTTGTTTGTTTGTTTGTTTTAAAACACCATTAGTTAAATCCATGGCTTAGGTAAAGTCTGAGGTTTTGAGACATGCACATACCAGTGGGACTGACTATTCTAAGGCAGAGACACCCATCTATTAAGGTCTCTAAACTCAGATACTACTGGTGAAATGAAAAGTTCCATAGCTTGCTTGAAAATTCTTGGGAATTTTCTGTGATGAATCCAGAACTGAGCACAGACTTCCAGACTCCTTGTGTTGAGCTGAAATGCAATTCCTTCCTCTTCCTTCAGGAAACACCACCTTTTCATGGGTTTTAAGGCCTGGGTAACACCACAGGATATTCACATAACAGCACTGGACAGCTGCTGGTGTCATTATTCAGAGACATGAAACAGTGGTCATTACCACTTATCAATAAAATATCAGGCTCCATCTTTCAGAGTATTAAAACTGGAGGCAACCTGCACAGGTCCAATTCCAATCAGAGTGATTCCATTCAGTCCTCTACAGTTTCTTTTAAGTTGCTTGAATATGACTTTTCCTTCGGGTTTGTTTTTTATTCGATGCTGTTGGTGCCTTTCATTCACTGCTGCCTTTTTCCACAGGGAACAACTGTTTCTGTCCTGTATTGCTGTTACACACAAATCTTCAGTAGTTGTGACTGTGCATAGTGGGTCCTTGAACGAGTAGATAGCAATCCTTAGCTAATGTGTGCATTGATGACTTTCTCTTTGACCTACCACATATATCAGATATTAATATGAAGACTCTTCCTTTTCACTATGTGAATCTAAAGTGGACAAGCAATGTCTCAGTAGATAAAGTGATATATGCCCTCACTATCTTTTTTTTGGCAATCCAACAATCAGAACATGTTCAATTTTTACAGTACAGCAGTAATGGAAAGTTTTAAACTTACTTTCTGTGAAGTAAAACCTGTGAACCAGGTATAAAGAACATGATGGAAATTGTTCAATAAGGAAAATCAAACTAAAATAGCTTATGTGTCTTTAGAAGCATAAGTACCTACTGAAAAGTAAGAAAGAGACATTGGGTGCCTCTGCCACACTGGTCTCTCTGTCCATATCCTATTCCCTGAGGGCTTTGTCGCCCCTGCTAATGCATGTGAGGAATTTCCCTTTGTTTTTTACTGAGCTGGCCCCATCACTATGATGGTGCCATCTGGCATCCAGATATTATTGTTTGCCCACTCCCCCATCAATCTGCCATTCTCCCCCGTGCCTTTTTTTTATGGCTAGCACCAGGGTTGTTTATAGCAGTATGTTAAAATCTGGACATGGTGTTAACATACAAAAGCATTTTTCAAAAGTTAGAAATCTTATAAGAAACCCTCCACTACTCATAAACCTAATCTCACTATACATAGAAAACCCCATACTTTTTAAATCACAACTGTTGTTCTTTCTGGCTGTCACACTGTGCTGGTGTAATGAATTCTAGAGGAAGAGGTCAGACAGAAAGATACAGTGGCTCCTTCCTCAGATAACATTTCTAATGCCTGGTGAATGGTTACTTCAGGGATGGACAGCAAAAGGAGAACAATATGCACCTCAACACAGGACAGCAAGGCCTTCTCACCTTAAACATTTGTGCTGACAAGGATTACAATACTTTGTTACCAACACGGAATGTTTCACAGTAGTTCTGTCAGCAATTAATTTTTAATTGATCCCATTTAGGTGAGCAGTGGGTCAGACAACCCAAACATACCTATTCCCTCTAGACTTGAAGAGGCTGAATTGGTTGTGATTAATTCTTTGAGCAGCAGAACTAATAAAGAAATATTTAAGATGCATTTACATTTGAAGACTGAGTACCCAAGTGGATACTTTGCTATCTTTTAAGGATTGAGCTCCTTTAAAACCTTTCCTTAAACTGAGGAATTCTACTTAGTCTTTTATTTTAGTGATACGTGTGGAAAACTTCTACTGAATTTCCTGAAGAATATCAACCAAGTTTGACAGAGGAGTAAAATTCTCTGTGATAATTTTATACCTCTTTCAGAATCAGTTAATAGCAATAAATTCAGACATTACTGAGAGGAGAGGAAGGCAACTGACAGATAGACATATACAGACAAAATTAAACTGTAGGACTTGTTTGCATTAGAAATTCCTGAAGATATAAATTATGGAAGGCATTATACGCAGACGGAATAAAATTGCGGCATCTGGTGCTGTGGCAGCACATGCCAGCGAATGATCACAAATTACAGGTGGAAGGATAGTATGTGAGAAATATTGTAGCTTTATAAATCATAGCATGCAATTTCATAAAATTTCAAAAAATAATATTCAATAGAAAGTTACAAAAATCAGAAGGCTGCAATACAGAGATTCACAAATGTGAGAACTCAATTCATAGAAGAAATATGCTGATTCTCAATATAAACTTTGAGAAAGACAATAGAATGGCTTATAGCTGAGCTTTGTTTTCTTTGCCTGAAGAAGGATAAAGGGGAAAGGGTCACGGTGGTCAGGGAAGAGTGGTCTACTGCTTACAAAGAATGGCCCTGTCTGCAGAGGAGAATGGGGGCAGTCGGGGACTTGGTGGCATAAGAAAGCTTGGCAAGAGCCTCAGATGAAGTGAGGGAGAAGAATGAATCCTTGCTGATGTCTGCCCAAGTGGGGCAATGAAATTGGTAATTGCTGCTCCAACAAAGAGTGAATAGGAAAGTCATTTAATCAGCCATAATATGATCATTCATCAGCCAAAATATGTGGGTGGTAGCCTGACATCTGTAAGGGTGGTGGGCGATGGAATATTACATTGTGTCTCTGTCTAGTGCTAGGCAGAAGCACTAGCCAAAAGATGCATTATCAGGGAATACACCTCACACTTGGTGTGTTTGAAATCCCTACATAGCCGAATGAAAGCTGGCCCAAAAGCTGATTGTTCCTTGTATTTTGGTGTGTTATAAATGTTTTGTCTCCATTTTTATATTGTTGCACACAGCTTTTTAATCTAATAATGAGGACCTAAAATGAATAACTGTTTAAGTCAGACATTAATGAAAAACAATGTTAATAGTGAGGCACCAAAACCAATTTTAGGTGGAAGTTCACTGCTCAAGATTCCTGAAAGAGATTAGATGTTTTAGAATATGCAGATGGATGTTACGGTTTACAAATGGGGATTGCATGGATGGTTCCTCCAGCACACATTTTCTAAGTTTTTATTTGGTTTTCCTGTCTCATGCCTTATCACCAAAAATCATTCTAAAGGAAAATCAAGGCATCTCTGAGCTTTGGGAAAGTTTGTGTGAAGACCCTGACTTCGTGCCCTTTATTCTTCCTGTTAGTCAACAGATATAAAAATCTGTGCTTGAACTTATATTATCTGGGTTTCTCATCAGCCTAAAATAAAGATTAGAAATACTCCTAGAGGTCTGCCTTGCAGGGAGAAAACATATGTAGGAAATGTCACTTCATGGCAGACTGAATCTAATCTGGACTGTGGCCCACTGTCCAGAATAGGAATACTAGTATTATTAATCCCACTGGCACGACTGAAACCTTGCAGTAAATGCAGAAGTCTTTGCAGAAAACGGCCTCCAATGCAGCAGAGCAGTATGAAGTAGGGAGGTGTCATAACTGCACTGAAAACAATTTGAAATTCTTAAATCCCTTTCCCTTTCGATCTCTCAAGGAGCATTTTAGCATCACAGTAATATACATGTAAGGTTTTCCACAATATTTTATTAAAATACACATCATGACAAACAACAGGTTACGCCTATTCTCTACAAATCCATTCTTGTTATTTCTTAAAGCTACATATATCCATATATGTATATACACATACACACACAAACATATATATACCTATACTCCTTTTCTACAGTGCAATCAAACTTGTTCACAAAACTGATCTTTCTTAGTGTAACAAATTACTCTGAATATGACCAGAGTAATTTGATAGCAGCGTATCAGTATTGTTCCTATTTTATGTGTATTCCCAAGGTTTATTTGCAGGTTGATAAATGCACATTTAACTAAGTAATTTAGTATAGCCATGAGAAATATCACAAGAAAGTGCACTTTATAAATAAAAAATTATTTGTATATTTGTATATTTATTATTTGTATATTCACAAATATCAAATTTTATACTCTTTGACTCTGAATTAATCAACCTATAAAGTCTATGGAACTCTGGAAGCAGTTAAAGATCTCATTATACCATATGTGATAGCTGCGACAAATATATATAAAGACATACAAATGTATTTGTCTGTATAAAAAATATCTGTATATGTGTGTGTAGAAATGCTTCTGTATACCTATATTTGTCTATATATATGTGTATATATACATATGGCAGGTGAGTATTTTTTTTTATTTTGGAGGACTTATTACATATGTCTCCAGCTTGCTGGCAATGCTCCAGTTTCTAATTACTTTGATTAAGATTAATTAGGCCAAAACTGCAATTATATTGCATAAAAATGCTTTGCATTTTTATGTTTTATTAATCTAATACATAGTTGCTGTTGTAATAAAAAATGCCATGTGCTCAGACACAAGGAACCGGATATTGATGGACCCTGTGTATGGAATTGCAATTATAGCATGGATTTATCACAGTTTCAGACAAAAACATCTAAGTTTTTGTACTTAAAATAAAACATAACAATACTTATAATTACTCAGTCTCATTGCTCTAGGCTTACGTGGTATGCATCACAGGATTCTAGTTTATTTTCTTGTAAAAGTTATACTTTTTTTGCTGTTACTATGCTTTTCCTTGGGGAAAAAGGCAAGAGGGAATCATCACTGGTTGCTTCATTTTGCCTCTTGCTTCACAGGAGTATTAATAAAATAAACAAAACTGCCAAGCTGTGAAGATACAGTGGTAATAGAGAGCATATAAATACATAGGTGGATGCACTTTTATTATAACACTCTTGCAATGACCTTACATGAAGTGCATTTATTTGATTAAATTAAATCTGCATTTACCCTCTTGAAATCTGTCTCTTTGCACCTAAGTACGATACAGTCTTAAGACCATGGATTTCCCCAGGGTTGGGCTCATCCTTTACACTCTAAGCAGAAGACAAATACATTCAGGAGATTGTGCTAGTTCTGTGCGAGTCCCAGGCTCCCTTGTGGAAACACAGAACTACAGAGGACTCTGGATTGGAAGGGACCTTAGGGATTCTCTAGTTCCCACTCCCCATGGTTTGGGCAGGGACAACTTCCACCTAGACCAGATTGCTCAGAGCCCCATCCAACCTGGCCTTGAACACCTCCAGGGAGGGAGCAAACACAGCTTCTCAGGATCACATAACAAGAACCTGTTGTAAGCAAATTTTTGAGACTTACGAGGGTTCTTCAGATACAGCTGTCCCTTCCTCCAGCTCTTGAGCCTGCTTATACCACGGCAACTTTGCTTCCACAGGAAGTTTCTCTATGGAACAAAAACAAGCATGTGAAAATAGGAAGCATGTGGTAACACTGCTATGTGTGCCACCCTCCCTTTGCTCACCAAGTGTGAATGTGATGTATGGGTGCCTTCACGCGCATGGGGGCCAAGCAGAAGGAAGACAAAGAGAAATGAGAAAACAGGGGAGAGAAACATACTCTTTCATCACCTAGACTATATTGTTTACAAGGGTGTATGGCCAGATATTTCACTGTTGCAGGTAGAAGGACAGTGCCCTAAAGCCAGACAGGCAAATTAAAACTGTCACCTTTCAGACTATACAATGGACTGTAAAAGCAGGCACTTTGGAAACTATTTTTTGGAGGGAAACTTGCAAGTGTAACAGGCCTGCATCACACATGGCAAAATGTGTAACATGCCTGTATCTACGTTTAAATTTCAGAATGTCAGAAGACATGCTAAGCTTGGTTTGGGAGATTACAAAAATAAAGAAAATCCTGCTTTGATGAGTGATACAACAAACAGGAAAACTATAATTAAATGGCTGAGCTACGCTTTTCAACTCCGTTTATCAGTTCATCAGCTATGTGGATTAAAAAAAATGAACATGATACTTTTTCTGTCATTCCTGATGGAAAACAGTGGAGCTGCTTTTCTCCCTCTCCAGGATGTGTGCACAGGGTAATGAGCTGCCCTGCTCTGGGGAATGCAGGGCCATGCTGCTTTGCAAGCCGAACTCCACTTTAATGGAGGGTCAGAGCCGAGTAGTTGAGCTGGAGGCAGCAGAGCTGTTTTAGCTCTACACGGGTATAAAGCAAGTGCAAATTTGGCACTAAAGGTTGAGAAGGCGCTCTGCACTTCAACAGAACATTCTGGGCCAGGATCAGGGGAAAACAATACAAAGTGCAGTGAGACTCAGACTACTGAGGGGAACCAGAGCCAAACCTATTTGCTACTCACAAATCACCTCAGCCTTTTGGGTCCGTGTAAGGATGGACCTGTACTCGCCAGCAGGAGCAGGTTAATGTCATTCAGAATAGTCAGGAATTTTCTGTGGCTCTATTGTGCAGAACATTTCACACAAGCACATGAAATTTTCCATCTCTCAATTGTATCACAAAGGAAAAATCACCTACAACTTGACTGAACAGCTACTGCAACTTTAGTCATGCAAATTTCCTTAGAGCAAGTTATTAACTGAGGAAAAGAGGGATAATAATAGAATTACTATTCCTCTATCTTAAAAACAGCTTTCCACGCTCTTCATCTAACACATTAGTGCCATTTAAGGATGAATGCCATCACAGCTCTTAGGTTAATCTATATTTTAATAATCATCCAGAATATGTAGGAAATATTTCTATGTTCTACAATTTGTTTTATGCGTTTTGGAAAAATCACAAATTACTTACGTGATTTTTTTGCTTAGATGCAAGTGTTTGTAAAAAGCAAAATTCTTGCCTAACATAGCCTGTTTTGTGACCTCTTAAATAACCTTCCTTTTTTTACAGGTGTAATTAATTAGCATCTACACTGCAAAATTTGTTAGAGGATTAGAAATGTTGGTGTTGTACAGTATGCTTCGACAGAAAAATGAACAAAAAGCACTTCTAACATAAGCTAAGGAGAAAATTTTACCTTTGGAGATTAAAGTAAAATATTTTCTTTTAAAACACTTCCAGTAAAAACACCTATATTACACAGAAAGTTGTATTAGATGAATATACATTCTCTATAAAAAGTGAAAGTCACTACTCAGTCCAGTGATATCCTACTTTTTCCCATTGTTGGTGCAATATAAAGTGCCTTAGGGCTTGAACAAACTAAAATGAAATAAAGTATATGAATGATTTGCCTTCTATTTCTTTTTTTGCAATTTTGCCTTCTATTTCTTTTTTTCAGGGTGTTAAGAGAAGCAAGACTTTCACATTTTTTGCCTTGCTGCTTCTGTCAGCTAATAAGACTGTATTCTGCTTTGTGTTAATCTAGCTGTCAAGAAAACCAGTCTAGGACTGAAACACGCAATAGATGAGAGGGTCATTACCCCTTCTACCCTAAATTTTTAACTCTAGTTGTGTGAAATAAAAAGGAAAAATTTCTAGCCTAAAAATAGAGTAATTTGGGTTGGATGGCACCTTTGTACACCATCTAGTCCAACACTCTTCTGAAACCACTGCTCAGCCTTCAGATATACCGATATTCAAACCCGACGCCTTGCATTATGAAGGGAAAACTGTGAGAGTGCTGCAGAACAAAGATGAGGAGGAAAACTAAACCAAATTACGCCAAGCTTTGCACAGGACTTTTCGTTCCATGTGAAATAATGGAAGACTTAGGAAGTAACTCCCTACATTCAGAAATTATGCATGTGTGTGCCGCAAAGATCTTATGCAGGGTAAAGATGTCATGCTCTCGCAAGGGTGGGCTTCCAGAAAGGAGTAATTTACTTTGCTCCCTGATGATTCCCGTTTGAAGACATTTTATGACAGATAGATCCTAGCTGGCCGTGCATCCTTCTAAGCAGAAGTCAGTTTTGGATGGTTTGCAGCCCAAGATCTCTTCTGCATCTTGCTGCACTTAGCTCGAATGTAAACAGTGAAAATACAGCTAAATTTACATTTCTATTGCTTAGTCTGCTGGACCACAAATTAACTATGAAAACCCCAAAGCTTGTAAGATGAAAGAGTCGGCACTCACTCCAAGCTGCTGGCAGGCAGACAGGAACAAACAGGTGCAAAATCATAACGCAGGTGCAAGTGGAAACAGTGATGCCAGCAGCAAAACAAAACAGCTGAACATGAAAGAGCTCTGAAAAATTTATGAGAAACATTCTGCCTCATTACCTTTGGGCTTGTAGCAAGGAGTGGGTACAACACATTCTTCTTTTATGTGTGGCTTTGTTTTAGTACTGCAGCCTCCTGTATGCATCCCCCTGTGGTCAATGCAGAGGACCACACGGTATCTGAGTCCTTGTCCACAGGTCACAGTGCACTAGATTGAAAAAAAACATAATAGGAGAAAATGAAAAGGAGAAAAAAAAAGTCACACAAAGCAATGATAAATATAAAGGGAATATGCAACATAAGAGAGCCAAACAGGATGCAGAAACACACAAACTTGAAAATAAAATATTCATAATATGTAGTAATTATGGATAAGGTATAAAATTGACAGAAAATTTTGCCTTTTTGCTCAGAATATTTACTGGATTTGGACATTTTGTCACTGGATTTCTCTTGCAGTGCCACTTTTGCAATGTTGCCTACTTGGCTTGCAGCCATCTGTCCCATATTGGATATGCTCAGTAACACCCTGTCAGTTTAATTTGGAGCCACTCTGTTTTGCTTGGACAAAGTACTGGGGCATATGCATCAACAGGGACTACACTCAGCTATTCTAGAAAAAAGCACCAAACAGAATAAGAAACTATCAGGCCTTCTTCTCTCAGACACTTTCTTAAGGTTTTTTTTTTTTTTAATTTATTTTTGCTGTGGTTCATCAACTTTTACCCCCTGCACAGATTGTTTCAAAATTGGTTCCACAGGAGACAATCAGGAGTACTCATCAGTTGGAAGTGCTATGGATGTTACCAATGTTGTTTTGCTCTTGGACAGCAGCTTTCATCTGAAAATCAACAAACACCTTGCAATCACCTCATCTGTAGGTAAGCTAGCCTAGCTTCTAAAGCACAGTTTACTTGGTGAGAAACTGGAGGGGGTGAGAAAATATATTCAAGCCAAGTCTTTATGTACAAAGTTAAAATATTTCACTACTTTTGTGGAAGGACATTTCCAAGACATTTACTTCTATAGAGAAGGAAAGGCAAGTCAGGAATAGACAAAATCAGGTATCAAAGAGCAGAGTCATATATAGATTTATGTGCTTCTTGAAATTTGTCAGTGAGTTAGAATTTCAATTTATGACTGAAATACTGTAATACAGAAATACCATTACATACTTATAGGGTTTTTTTTTTTGTGCATTTCACTTATATTCCCAGTCTATTATTAGTAGAAGGTCACAAAATAATGTTACAGAGCTGATTTATTTTTCCACCATTCTCCTTGTTCATGTTCATCTTAATAGATTTTTCCTGAGTGGTTGCTTTGCAGTTAGCAAACAGCATAATTTAAAATACAGGTGTTGGTAATGAGAGAAAACAGTAAATGTCCTAACTTCCAAAAACTCACTGAAGTATAATTTAAGATATTTTCCCTAGTGTGTTAAACACAAAACCAACAAAACTGAATTGGTTACCGGGGACCATTCTTGAGCAAGCCACTTTGGACAGTCAAATATATTGCAAGGCTGGACAACAGGCATCTTTGGCGTATACATGCATTTCCATTCTTCCACGGGGCTGATGTGCCCCTGAATGTCTTCCTCCACACAGGAGACACTGCGGCTTTGAATGCCCCCTCCACAGGATGAGGAACAGGCAGTCCAGGGTGTACTTTCCCATCTGGGAAAACAAAGAGGCATCAGGAAACATTACCCTTCTTGTTCCCACCCCCTCTTGTACCCCCAAAATGCATAAACTGCTGTCCGAAAGGTTGCTTGTTTGTATGGGGGTTTTTTGTTTGGTTGTGGTTTTTTTTCCCTTTTTTTTTTTTTTTTGGTTCAGCTTGGCTTGGCTCAGTTTTTTTTACTGGGGTAACATCAGTAAAAATTAATCATGTATCTGTTTTCACAGGTGTCCACAGCAGCAAAGCATGCTCATGGCTGGTGTCTTTTACACCACAGTTAATAATATGAAATCTCCTCTCTCCCACTAATCCAATTACTACTGCCACAGAAAATCTAAATACTTTTTACTTAGTTGTTTGTTTTTCCTTTTTTTTAATTGATGGGATTATCATATTTTCATAATTTCTCATATTCTGAGAAATCTTTGTCACAAATCACAGGAAACAGCGTGCTGTGAGGTTGATGTCCATTTTGCAGAACATAAAGGGAAAGAGCAGTATTTTTTTCCAAGGAAGGAACTCAGTAGAGAAAAAAGCAAGAAAGATGAGAGGAAATCACCAAGAAGAAAAATATGACCATACTTCTAAGATACATGTCCTCTGATGGATAAACCAGGTGGACCTTGTTTCCTTACAGTTAAGGCAGTGAGAGGAGCTGAGAACCCATCTTTTCTCTGCAAGTGCCATGGAGAATGCAATGAAAAATCCTAACAACATATGCACGTTCTGAAAAGCTATGTACACTTACGAGAATAATCCTTTTTTTAGTGATGCATATGCCATAAGCTATGTATTAATTTATATGTGTGTATATATATATATATATATATATATATATATATATATATATATATATATGTCTGCCCACAAAAAATAGTCTGGTATTGCCTCTCTTATATTCAAGCCTTTGTCACAGAGACTGGATGTGGGACCGTTCCCATGATCTAGTGTGGCTATTTCTGTACATTACTGTGTATGACTGAAGTACAGAAGTATGTGTGTCCTGCCCACCTGGAAACATTTAATGAAATAATTCAGTAGCCCACAAGGCAAATGTCGTTTTCATAATGACATTACAAATACTGTTTGAAACAACAATTTTGGTCAAAAGATTTCAGTTTTTGATCTCAAAGAACAGTTTTTGGGAAAAACACCTCACCAGTTTCCTCCTTCAGACAAGAAGTAAAAAACCTGAAAGGTGAGGACTTTTATTGTCTCACTTAAAATAAAGGAAATATTTTTGTTAAGTAACAAATACAGGATCCCCAAGATTGTTGAGCAATATGAAAAATGCTTATCTTTCTCTCTAATTTTCCATCATGTCAGCCCACAATCTACTTATCAGCACCTAGCAATACCCTGACCTGGCTACTGTCCAGTAGCACCATAAAATTCAATGTGAAATGGCTTAAATTAAAAGTTGTTTATGAGTAGTAAAGTCACTGATTAATTCTGTGACTTACCACTAGGAGTGGTGGAACAATTTTTACACCATGCACAGCCATCATCATGTGCTGATCATAAGCCACATATTTTACAAAGATGTAATTTTAGGGGTACTTCTACTTAAATGTGTTTCCTGTGGTTCTTCTGAACAAGTTTCCCAACATACAGCTAATGTTTCTTACTACCACAAACAAGAGGCCCAAAACTGAAATTCATGAACTGCAAAATTTGCTTGGTTCAAAATTTGATGGCTCAACCCATGTAAGCCACCTTTTACTAGCCTTAAAAATGGATGACACCAGGAAGTTTCCTGAAGTCTTTGGGACAATTTTCCAGGTGTTTCAGGCAACCTTAGCAAATTCAAGTAGCTTAAATATAGCAGAGAGTTTTGTTCTCAGTTGGAGGTTGCTCCATGTTTTGGCTGGAGACTGTGGAGTATGAACACACTGCATTTGTACACTCATGCTGAAACCTCTGTGCATCAGGCCTCAATACAATTGGATGGAGGTTGTTGCCTCTCCTGCATGAGACTATCAAGTTGTCTAGAGGGTTCTTTCTGTGATTTCATAACACAAGACACAATAAATTAATGAAGAAGAAAACACGGCACAATACTTTTGCATGTCCAGGCATTATTTTAAAACCTAGAGGTTATTATCCTTCAGCTATCAAAAATTTTTATAATCAACAGTCTTATTCACTACTTTAAAAATAGTTACTCATCTGATTATTTCCATGAGAATCTTGAGTCTGGCATTAAAGACAATTGTGAGACAATTAATGATAAAAATCAGGTCTTGATCCTATTCCTGCCCTAAACACCTACTTCTTAGAAAAGCCAGTGAACTAATGTCCCTGGGAAAGGCATTAGCATGGGTTTGTAGGATCAGAAAACAACACTAATATTGCCAAAACTCAAAATCTCACAAATTATAGGCATGCAAGAAGCAGCCAAATGGGGGTGAGGGAGAGAAAATCTTGTGGTTCTCAATAAAGCCACAGATTGTAGTTCTGCTCAGAGAGGAGTAAAGGGCAAGAATAGGAAACTTGTGAGAGAAAAGGGGAAGTGAGATTGAGGAATGAGAGAAAGAAAGGGATCACACACTTAGTAAATCTGGACTTCTCCTTCAGTTAGGATTTAATTTCAGTTCTGCATTGACAGAATTTATTACAACAGGTTAGCACTTGAACATCTCTATATTAATCTGTAAGAGTCCAGAGAAGCAGGATCTGTTAATTTAGCCTGAGAGTAAAGCAGGAGTACAGAGAAGAACAAAAGAAAAAGAAAACAGATTTGTTAAGCCTAGCATCTGGTTGACTTTTTTACATACCGAGGAAGGGGATGGTAGAGGTCATAGGGCATGATCTGCTTGTATCCATCACTGTTAGGAACAATAATGCCAACCCTCTGAGTAGAAGGTACACATAATAAAATAAACACTAGATGATTACATTATACATTATATGATTACTTTTGTATTACAATATTGTATTACATTACACAGCTTTTTATATTACAGTATTATAAATCAACAAAACAAGATATTTTACCTAAGATGTTATCCCATAAAAAAAAAAATACTCCCATCCTACTTTTTCTGAGTAATTCAAAGAATAAATCAGTGGTTACTACTTTTTTCTTATAAATAGATTATTGTTGGACAAAAAAGCAATCTATTGCTAGAAGTGACCCAAATATTATTTTAACTTATGTTTTTATTATCTAGCATCAAAAAGAATGTTTCTATACTTGATATATTCTTGGAGCTTGGATCCAAAGTCACTGATGACAATAGGGGAACTTTTATCTGCTGCAGAACTCTAAATAAATTCCTTTTTATAGCTATTTTATGGTTGTTTCTGCCCATCGAATAAAACCTCTGCTTATACAGAGTACAGGATTAGAAATCTGGGTAAATCACAGCGCAAGAATTTGTATCTGCATTGCTTGTCTCTTCACCTTAAACTAGTCCAGACCTGTATTTTTTTTTCCCTGAAAGAAAGAAGGAGCCTGAGAAAAGATTAATATGTCAGGTAGAACTTTTTAGTTTGTCAAAACTGGTTGGATTCCTTTGCTGAAATGTTATTGGAGTGGTGTCACAATGTAAAATCTAGAAGTTACAGAAGGCAACAGTGTACATCAAAATTAGGAGTTTTCTCAAATATTATCTTGCCAGTTATGTGTGAGATGGATGCCACTTTTCTCAATGTCAACTACAGGGTCTCACTGAATTGCTGGTCTGAAATATCGTATTTTGTCTGCACTGTTTATAATTTTGGCTCATTTTACCATGTTGTTTCCTAGTTATCAGACATATCTATTAAAATAAAACAGATGATCTTGGAGGACCTAATTTATCACCTTCATCAAAGCCACTTGGGTATTTGGATGGGGCAAGTGGACAGAAGAATCAAGAAGTGAATACTAACTGCAATAAAATAAAAAGTGTGTCTCCATCCAAGTTACAGAGAGATGAAAAAAAAATGAATGTCAAGAACAGAGGTGGTTTTGGGAGCCTTTTACAGATGAGAGGTGGTAGGTATGCTGCTGTGGATTTCTGCAAGGGGGCAGGAGTGAGGGAGGGGAAAGGGAGAAAATATTCTCCATCCTCCATGCTTACTGAAAAATGCTGTGAGCATTCAAAGGAGTCTTGTCAGGCCAGGCCTAAAGGGGTCTATTCTCCTTTGAGTCAACAGGGGTTTTGTATGCATAACTTGTCCAAGATAGAAGAATGGATCCCATTGTATTTCCACAGCAAGGAGTCAGCGCCAGGTCAGCGTGCTGGAATTTTCCAGCTAAAGCGCGGGAAGCAGCTGGAGCCCTGGAAGTGTGTGAGAGGGACTAGACAGTTCCCTCTAAGATTAGCAGCCACTGCAGTCACAGGAACTCTCTGCATGAGTGCGCATATTTGCATTTTCCAAGAGCTGCCTGTCCTCACAAAAATCTAAAAATCTAGGAGAGGTTGTTCTGGCACTGGGAAAAGACAAATGGGTCATTTAGAGTCTGGTCAACGAACAAGTCTTTTCAGACTTAGCCTGATGGGTAGACATCTGTAGAATGTGGAGGAATTGTCTACTAGTATTTTATGATGGAAAGGAACTTCTTGTGAGGGTTTTTTGCCCCTGCCTTGGAAATTTGCTATTTTCCTGACTCTTCAACTACTGCTGTTGAAGTTCCCCTCTGAAGCTCTCTGTCTGCACTTTCCAGCTCATCAGCTTGCTGAGAAGTGGTTGGGAAAAAAAGTTAACATAGTGAGTTAAAAAATAAAATAATTACATTATAAAAGCATCTACTGCCTAAGAAAGAAGCAAATTTCAATAAAATTCTAATTCATTGCAGTGAAAAATATTTTATTTCTAATAAACATGATTGTCTATGGGTAATCCAAGTCTACATGCTTTAGAATGCATTACTTCCAAGACTGTTCAGACAGAAACAACTGTAACATATTCAAAAACTGTTATGAATATTAAGTAACATTTACAAAGCACTAGGTTAATATTGTAATTGGAAAGGTTTGACCCTCAGAAATTTTGCATGCAAAAATTACATTTCTATAAACAGTATTGAGCTCCACAGATTTACTGATTCTGTCTTTGTCCATATGTGAAAGGCTGCCAAAGGTCTCATTCTGCAACTACAAGAAAATGAATCACAGCCATAAAGTCTTAGCAAGGAAAAAGACCCCCACAATAATACACAATGGTTTAATTTATGACATTAAAAAAGAATTGTCTTAAAAGTTAAAACAGAAGAGCAGATGGCCATCACATCATTAATGCCATCTGCACTTTTCTAGCTAGTCTTGTGAGGTTTTTGTATGTGCTCCAGAAAAAAATCTCTAAGACTAAGTTAACACTTAAAAAAAAAAACAAACTTAAGAGATTACTTTGGTGTATTCTTACTTTTTGATGGGACAAAGTGGTTTAAATTCCATTACTCTATCAGTCCATCATACTCCTATAAACAACACGGAAGAGATCTACTTTATGGGGTCTATTTACTGCACATTACCCAGATAATGCAAAGGGGATGGTGTGCTAAACCAGCAGAGGAAATAATAATTCCTTCACTGAAATATGTGCGAGTAGCTAACAGGACTCATTCACAAAGCATCAAGAGATTTGGCAGGAGCAGGAGCAGAAAGCAAATTACTTTGCAGTGCTGTTCTGTCTCATATGTCTGCAATCTACCCTGCCTTTCAGACCAACAAGTCCTATCATATATTCTGCACATTGTGTTTTTTTCCTCCTGAGGGCTGGCAGTCTCAACACAACTGCCCTTCCAAGGCATGGCTGGAATAGGAACTGCACATGCCAGAGGTGAGAGTGCTGCAATCAGATTTGCCATCTCTGCAAACATTCAGCCTTCTCCTGGGATGAGTTTCCACAGCTGCATTCCTTGGAAGACAAGTTTGGTCAACTCCTCCCCAGTTGCTCCTTTTCCTGCTTAACCGGATTTAGCACAGATGACAAGCTTTAAGCTCCAGTGCCTTTCTCCTCTACCTCCCTGATGACTCCATCTTTCTGACAAGGCCAGCCTTTCCCAGCTCTCTCTCCTGCATGCTGATGAGTCTCTCAACCTGCTGAGGCAAGCAGGGGCAGGGGTGCTAAAACTGAGAGGAGCCAGCAGAGAGAAAGGACATCTGCTCCCAAGGTGCCTCAGGGTGGTGTGACTCACATGGAGACAACCTGCCACTCCTGTGCTGATGTCCTGCACCTTGCTGCGCTGCTGCCCAGCCTCTGCAGGATGCTCACGTGCTTCTGGCTCACAGCCTCCACTTCTGCTGAGGGCTCTGTTTTGCTGGGGGTGTCCTACTGACAGCTGCAGGGCTACCCATGCAATAACCTGGGTGGCTGCGCCCATTACACCTCTTTCCTGATCAAACTTGCATGAGAAGATTTAAGCCTTCACTGATATCTGTCAGACCTGAGAGTACATTATCTGCATGGCAGGGACTGTGCCATCCAAGCAATGGAACATGTTTAAGACATTATTAGCAGCGAACAAATAATAATGAAATGTTAAAGTAGCTTGGGTTGGCTGTGCTGGAAGATATGAAAGTGCTCGCCACTAGAGACAACAGTTTAGCATCTAAGCCAGCATCTCTGTGAAAGCCATGATTATCATTGGACAGACAACAATCTTGTGCAAAAGACTGCATTTTAACACTTCAAATCCTGACACTAAGGCGGTGCGTGGTACTGCATTTCAGTGATCTCTGAAGATGTCACACTGCGACATTATCTCCTTGATAAGAACACTTCAAGAACACTTTGCATGTTGAGAAACAGTTAATGAGACCCTCTAACACACGGTATCTGTTAATGCCTTCCATGTATTATTCTGGGGATCTACTACCTTTTCCCTTCAGAGCAGGGGCAGATGACAGTAACACCGTGGGTACAGGCAACACCGGTTTCAGTGCCTATTCTGCAGGCAGTGAAACAGTACTTCTCAGTTATGGCACCAGTATGAGTCACCTTTCTGGTTTCTGGATGTTATCAATGTGAAACTGAACTACTATGTACATCATATGTATTGGTCCTTTTATATGCTCTTAGTACTTAACAGATTGGCAAAAGCCAATGTCTGCGCTTAAACAGTTAAAAGTGGTATGTCAGTGGATACTTTAAAAACCCACTTATGAATGAAAAACACTATTTAGGAAGCCATTCCTATGTGTCAGCATCCAAAACACCTCTTGCTTTAAACAGAATGTCTGTTTGGCATGACAGTATCTTACCTTTATAAAAAATGTCTTGTTTATGGTGCAGATTTTAAATTCTAAGCAACATTTTGTTTGTCATTGCCATAGACTGCTAAACCCCAATCTCTTCACAGTGGTCTAAAGAGATGTTTCCAGTCAAAAGCAGAAAAAGTAATTCCTTTCAGTAGCATGACTGTAATGCTTCTAAACATCTCCTATTTTTTTATTCTGTTCAATATTTTGTTGTGGTTTGGATGAGCAGTGTTTGATACAAAGAGGGAATGAGCTGATAAGTAGTTAACAGTACTAAATTTTACCAACTGAATGTCCAGTGAAAATCTTTGTAAATGACTTGCTGCAGTTTTGGCATCTTCTAGGACTTAAACTAGACTAATTTTCCTGCAACTTCATCTTGGGTAGACATATATCTGTATCTGATGCTCATAACAGTACATGATATGTTTTCCCACCTTACAGCTTGTTATTGGAAGAATTCTGGAACTCCTTTCTGCCTTTCTTTCCATGTTTCATTAAGACGTATTGTCCCCTCAGAGCTGAATTTGCTCTGCTATTCACATCTTTTAAGTGCTTGAAAAGTCCTTCCTGGCCCACCTCCCTTACCTAATCTAAATTTTCTAGATTAATTTAGATTACTTCTGCCCTGTCCAAAATTTCAAGGTTTCAACTTCCTGCCTTGAGAAGAAATGTATCTCTTTAGGTATAAAAATTATCTGCTGCTCTTGAGCTTGGGTAACCCAAATTATTAGTACCAGAACATTGCCATTGGTGCTAGCTCCTTTTCCATCTACAACTCCACTTTCATATTGCCAAGCATACTATGAACTTCTCACTGCTTACAATAATTCTGAATAGCCATAACATCCTGGTGTCTTTTGTATGCATGTACTTGTACTTCAGTGTGCTTGTTAAGTGAGCTGAAAATGAACAACTGAAAAATACAATTTTGTTAAAATTTAAATTGAATTTTAAATTTCTTTTTTCTAATGCCTACCTCTGTCACCATGTTATCAATATTTAAATGAGAATGCTAAAAGAAAAACTTTGACAAGCAGGAAGAGGAGTTTGCAATTTCGCTGGAGGACTCCATAAATAGGGTATATCTAAGAGTTCTTCAGGTCTCTGGACACTAAAAACCTTGCTGAAATGAGAGATTCTCCCCCCCTCCCCAAACTATTCCACAGGTATAAACAATATTTCTAGTGGCAGGCTTACAGATTGAACTCTAGGCAAACTCCAGGAACTCAAGTGTTAAAAAGAACACTTTATACTAGAGGCTTGCTAATACAAAATTTTTTAGACAGTTGCTTTATGAATTTAGAATCTTTGCTGAAGTTGCCATTAGAAATCTTTATATGACATTGAAATCTCCTAGTAAAAATACAAATAGACCTTTTGTGATTCAGAAACTCCCACATTAACATGTAGCAGGAATAGGCAAAAAATATGGGAGATTGGTAAAAATGTAGAATGGCATGGCTGGGAATGCTCCCTAAAAGCTGAAGACCAAATCTAGAAATAATACTGAGAGTATCCTGGTGAATGAGTGAATGATGAGTGGGGCAGCAGCAGTCTTTTTTACATTTGTCTAAATTGCGTTTTGGGGGGAAGCCTGTCTTGGAATTATGAAACAAATTTATCTTCTGCTTATAGCACCTTAGAATTATCCTAAGTGTTTAGCACACTCAGTTAAGTCAAATCTGAAGAAACCTTTTCTCTAAGCAAGAAAAAAAAAATCCATTCATTTTTTACTAAAATATACCAGAAAGGAGGATAAAGATGAAAGCCAAAATTAAATGGGTGAAGCACTAATACTGGATTTTGCCCCATGGAAGGGGAGTAGACTAGATTGAATTGGCTGCTGTTTACATCAGTAGGTAATATGCATATAGACTTATTTTTGCCAGTCGAAGGCAGACTGCTGTAAAATCATAATGGACTGTAAACAAACAGGTCTTTCCTTTTTACTTTGTTGGTTATTAAGGATGCAAAACAGATTTGGTAAGAGAGGCTGAATGGAGCAATGCTATGTAGGGATTAAAAGGCACTAAATGTCATCGTGTATCATGTGTTCTGTGGCATGAATCACTGCTCTGACTTGGATGAACAGTATATGTGGCCTCTACATAACCTGGAAAATGAGCATGTATAAGTTATATGTGTTTGATAAGTAACCATCCACATATTTTCCCATGTTCATTGAGACTAAGCTTTTTTGCTATTCATGATGCCAGCAATACTGCTTATTGCCATAGTAAGCACAATAAAGTAAACATTTCTATGCACTAAACCCAAAGAGGCAACAGGCTCACACAATACTTGTGGTATTAATTTAAACTTTTCTTACCCTTTGCTGAAAATTTTAGTGTTTAGAGCAACCACTCTCAGTTCCTTTATTCAGCACCACTATGGTCTTCAATGATTATTTTCTGTGGCATTCATTAACACACCATAGGAACAGTCAGCAACCACTAATCAGCTATGCCTCAATGGAACTGGGTTTGCCAGGAAAAATTAACTTCTTGGTTTTATACTGGTGGAGCAGAGCAGCCCCCACACAACACAGACACTGCAGAGCCAAGACACCCTCCTTGTCCACACTTCTGAAACTGTGTCTCTGCTTCACCTACCCTCTTCCCTACTGTAAGAAATCATCAGGAATCCAGAAGTTTCCATGGATTTCCTCTGTTTTTTAGTTTTTTTTTTTTTTTCATCTGGGTTGTTGGTTCTTGAATTCTTTACAAAGGCACTTTTGAAAACAGCAATTTGAAATTTGGCAGACTGTGAAGATGTTTCCAAACAGCCAGGTCCTCTGGGATGGCATAGCTGTATTTCTAAATGACTCTCCCTTCCCCTTAGGGTCTTTATATCAACAACTTTTCCTTGTTATGGCTTATATAAAACAAAATTGCTTCCTGACATCTGCCCAGCTGTTATTTTTTTCCTCTTTCCTCTCATATACCATGTAGTCATCTGCATCACCATTTGAGAATATGTTATTTAAAATCATTGAGAAAGTATGGAAAATATCCACCACAAAAATTCCAGAGGCAAATTACATATTTGAACCAGAAGAGTAGGTTTAAAAAAATAGCATCTAAGAATTAAAAAAAAAAAAAATAAAGCAACTACATAAAATTACCTTCACTGAGACTGTGATAAGTGACTCTAGAAGACAGGTTCCATATTGATTCATATTTTTCAACAATCCTTTTCCTGAAACATTCATGTTTTGACCTTCTACCTGATCATACCTGGCCTGTACTGACATCTGCCTCTAACAAATGTGCTTAAAGGAGGAAAGTGCAATACACTGCAGGTAAAGGTGTCTTCTATGACAAAGAAATCTGAGTGTTAACTCCAAAAAGTCAGTGAACTTCAGTGAAAACTTCCTATAAGAAGTAAAACTTATCTTTGCCTTAGAGTGATTTGTTGTGCTATGATAATGCCTAGCTACTCTAAAGCTGGTTTGTGTAGCAACCACCCTCAGTCAGGCGGATACATAGCCCCACAATTTTCTTAAGTATCCTTTTACTCATCAGGACATCTTTTCTCTTTGACAACCTCCAGAAACCTGAACTGACACAGCAACTTTTTCAGTGACACTTGCTTGAACTCACAATATCAGAGTTGGTAAGAAACAAGCCTAGAGGGAAAGGAGCTGATGATAATATGGCTTTAGGGCATCCTTGTCCTGTCTGCTGGGTAATGCTTAACCACCTTTTGGCAAAGCCACACAAGATGACCAAAAGATTTAGATTGCACAAATAAATGCTTGTTGCTTATTGAGTGGCTGCAGATGGACTCCCACTGAAGTTCAGGGCAATCAGTGCAACAAATGATTGGTCTTTTTTGTGGTTTTCTTTCTTTTCGTATACATGAGAAATCTGACTATCTGATCTTACTATTTTTATTGTTAATCTTCTGAGGAAGAATGCACAGCAAGTTCCACCCTAATACCAGGAAGAATATCTTTACTGTGCAGTGCCCATGAACTGGCACAGATTGCCCAGAGAGGTTGTGAAGTCTCTCTCACTGGGGATGTTCAAGAATCATCTGGACACAATCCTGTGCCATGTGCTCTGGGATGACCCTGCCTGAGCAGGGAGGTTGGACCAGACGACCCCCTGTGGTCCCTTCCAACCGGACCCACTCCGTGATTCTGGGGGCAGCAGAGAACAGACCTTCATGCAGGGCCAAAGGACATTGTTAACTAGAGCAAAATCACTCGTTACATTTTACAAGCTGCCATAAATGCAAGCAGGCTTTTCATTAAGGAGAAAATTTAGAAAAAAACCCCAACCAACTCATAAAAATTGTTCATCTAAGTGTGATGACAATAATTTTCCTGCAAAGAATTTTTCCATCTCACTAATACTTAAGAGACATGTATTCAGCACATGAATTCAGGGCATGGGGATGGTATCATGGAGAATTTGTTTTCTCATACTTGGTAACAATTAATGAGGCAAAATACATGAGGGGAAGAAACAACCATTTCAAATCAGTCTTTGCTCTATGAAGGTGCTGAATAGGTGTTCTACACTGTGCATTCACAGAATGATAGAGAGGTTGAATAATGTATGATAAATGACACTGTGAGAAATAGCAACGGAATATTCTCCTATTTTATTTTACCCCTTTAGGGCTCAGTCTCACTTAAAATTAAAGCCAACTGACCTTGCAGGACAAGGATCCAGATTACACTCTTGAAGTTTTGGCTTTGGCTTGATATTTTCAGGGTAATAGTGACAGTACTGATCTGCTACTACCCGATTGCTTCTCAGATCAAAGCACTCAGCAGATGTCAGCTGATAACCTGCGATACACAGAGGAATAAATAACATGAGATGTGATATTCTTCCTGTCTGGCTCTGAAATGTATCTAAGTTCTGGTTTGGAAAAAAGAAATTAATTTCAGCTTGCTTCAGTGCTTTTGGACATAACAGATGTTATTTTACAGGCCAGATTGAAAACAGCAATGGAAATTACATGTAGTAGGAAACAGAAGATAACCAGTATGGTCAAACAAAAATTCAGAAGTCTAGAAAAAGCAAAGAAAAACAAAGGCTGAGGTTTCTTAGCCACCAAGAATGAGCCCTTAGTTTCAGTATAGAGAGTAAACCTGCTGGTAGGAAAAGGGACAAATGGAGACATCTTGTTTTACCAAATCCAGGCCCAAGTCCCATCAGCCAAATATCTGATAGCTACAGCACTAAATGCAGGTATGTAGCTATCAACATGTCCTTTCTCTACAGAGTCTGGCACAACACTGAAATCCACAGGCTACTATGATGTTGCTAAGTCCCTCCCTTCATTTAGTTCTAATTATTCAAATTTTTAGATTCTGCCATTTTTAAGGTCCAAAACTCAGGGCAGCAGTTGGGAAAGGTCATGTGTGCAGATGACAGATTTTGAAATACAATGGTAATTCATTACCTCCACCACAGGATGCTGAACAAGGGAAAAAATCAGTTTCCCTCCATCTGTGAATGATTGGCTGGTAGAAGATGAACTGGACTGAACTGTCAGCAGCACCAGCATAATGGATCTGAAAAAGAGTTAACATCAAAGTGTGAACCTAACACAAATGCTGTGAAGAAGTATTCCACCAAAAGCATCTTGCAGATTGGAGACATCTTGAAGCTTCATGAAATACCAGATGTACTCTGCAATAGGAAAGCTAAATACAAAACCAAAGCATTGATTGGTGGCAAAATCTTGGGTTCAAAACACAGTTAAAGAAATTTCTGGGCATAAACAGTGACCATTTTGAGACCATGTTCTGAAATAATGAGTACACGGCAAATGTATGATTAGTGCTACTGAATAAACTTTTAGGGACAGAAGATAGGACTGGTGCATCAGAAAATTACCTTACCCTATCTACTGTCCCTGACACATGGACATAGATTTTAGATCTTTAATGTTTCTCAAAAAACATTTTCTGAACAGTTACAATACACTGGATAGTACAGAGTAAAACATGTGAGGCTGCACTGTGAAAAATAATAAACAGTATAAAAATTTTAATTAGCCTTTTTTTTTTCTTTTCCTGAGGTGAGATCTTTATTTAACTCTCCTTTGTGGCACTGTCATTATTATGAAGTTTGTTCTTCTGCATATTTTGCTTGTGAAAATGCTTCCTTCAGTCATAGGCATGGAATCCTGCCTGGGGCTAAGTGCATGTCTGCAAAACTGTCCTTGGAACCTAAAAGCCACCTGAGCTTAAAAGCTAGCATGCTTTCAGTACTAGGTGTGCTGAATGGATGTTCCACATAAACAAGAGTTTGTAGTGCAAGGACTGCAATAGGAGAGACCTTCACACTGGTAAAGCAGCACCACTTGCACCCTGCCCAGTAAAAAAATCCTTCCTGTTTGATATCTATGCTGATTATTCCAGTTATGAGGACTTCAAAATCTCAGGTGGTTATCCCCTGTCCTTACCTTTATGCCTCAGCATGAACAGCTGGAAAGGGAAGAACAAAAATCTGCTACTGCAAACCTCTCCTATTTGATTACTTGTCCTAGGACACAGTATTTCAGTTGCTGCTTGAGCATCTCTGCATCAGTGGCACAATGCTATCACAGTAGAGAAAACTGCCAAATCACATCTAGAAAGGATGGACCCTTGTCCAAGACAGTACTGCTGCTCTCAGGACCAATCCTCCCACCATTTTTTTTCAGACAGCTTAAACTGTTTGACCACTGCCTCCTTTTCCTCTTTTTCCTCTCATGTTTCAAATGAGTCTCCTAGTTTTGGAAACACAATTTTTCCCTTACTCTTCTCTCCTTCCAAACACCAACAGACACTGTCAAAGAATGGTCTGTGAAACAGAAGCAAAAATGTAACAAACTGGGATGAACTTTGTAACTTGGGTTTTTTGTTTTGTTTTTCCCTGTAGACGGACAGCAAGATGATTACAAACCAAGATATATCTTGAAGAGCATGAGGAGGGCAAGAATGTTGATGTGTGTATGAGGTCTGGTCCACTGAGACTAAGGCTTCCCTTTTCTAATTAAACAGTGATGTCAATTCTCAAAAGGAAAAAAACCCAAACCAGCTGTAGCAATACAACTGCTTCAGCAAATGGGAGGCCTTTTGAACAGATCAATATTGTTTGAATGTGTGTGTCAGAAACAGGATACTGAATTCCTTGTGTGGGGATGGTGCATTAATTACACACTTCACAAGGGTCTTTCCAGGCTCATGAAAGCTTCAGGCACTCCTGGGAAAAACATTCTGTTGCGCTGGAAGCCATCTGGGGAGGTCTCTGATCTCAATGTGCAGGAAAGGCATTCTCTGGGGAAAATTCTGCTCTTACTCTTTGTTTTTTAAGGATCATCAGCGATTCCTAAACTCAGATCTACCCAGCAGTACGGTCTGCAGTGAATCGTTAAGAACAGAGCAAGAGCTCACACATGGGCTACTATAAAATGAAGGGCAGGAAAAAGGAGTTTACATTGAAAAAAAAATCAGGAAGAAAGAAGAATTCCTCTCTCTCTGCAGACTATTCCTGCATGTTTGGAGTTATCTGTCTGTTTCGACACAGAGAAAAGACAGATGTACCATCTTTTCCAGTGACTGTGGAAGTCACTAATACAGCCATGACAACAACATAGGTGAGGAAGAATTACAATGAGCCACAGTCATAAGCTCAAATTATACACAATAAGCAAATAAAAGAAGCATACACAATATTGTGTATTTCTGAGGGGTATTGTAAACAGAAGAGGAACAATAACTTGTGATTCCACATAGCAAAAACTTCTTTTTGATTTTTAGTGCTTGTTAGAGCTAAGATCTTTATCCAGGAAAAAACTTGAGCTACTTGAGCCCTGAAAAACTCAGAGTGAGAACTGATAGTTAATGCTGTAAGAAATGTCGTGGTTTGGCTGCACAGGGCCAGCTCCCACACCTTGAAATACTCAGCTCTGCAGTATGATGAAATTTTTTACCTTTGCAGTATTAGCAATATCCTTGTAGCTATGAGAAGTTCCAAAGATCCAAATAGAGATGGCCATCACCTGAGACTCTTAAGCTAGTCCTCTAAATAACAATGAGTCTTGCACACGTAGATAACTGAACTAGAAAAAACAGCAACTGATGGTTATATTTGCAAACAAAATCCTATCTAAAGTTATTAATAGCTGAAGTCAGAAGTATCCAGATCTTGCAGAGCACTCATCCCTGCATTTGTGCATGACAACTCCCCAGATATCATCCTTGCCTTCCTTTAACTTTCAGGGGAATTGGGAGCATTCCTAACATCAGAGCAGCCCTTACCAGTTTCACAGAATCAGCTAATCACAGAATGAAGTAGGTTGGAAAAGACCTTTGAGATCATCAAGCCCAACCTATGACCTAACACCTCCTCATGTAAACCACTGCAGTGAGTGCCCTGTCCAGTCCTTTTACAAGTATCTCCAGAGAGTAACTCCACCACCTCCCTGGGCAGACTATTCCAAGAAGTGATTCCCTTAATCACTATTTTAATTAATAAATTTTTCCTAATGTCTAGCCTAAACTTCCCCTGGCACAGCTTAAGACCTTGTCCTCTTGTTCTGTCACTGTTTTCTGTCACCTTGGCCTTCTTGGCCACCTGGGCACACTGCTGGCTCATGTCCAGTTGGCTGTTGACCCTAAAGAATAGCACCAGTCATCCGTGGAACTGGTTAAAACTACAGTCTTCAGATTATCCACTCTTTAGCCTACAGTCACTATCAACAGAGATATCTTTTTTCTCTGTTGAAAGACCTTGGGGAAAAAATATCTCTTTTAGACTTTTTTGACACTAATTTTTCTAATTCCTCTGTAGGATGCTGCAAGAGAAGCACAAACTGTTGCTCAGCAGACTTGGTTTGGTTCATGTCACAGAAAGTCACAAGAAAACAAGAAAATAAAACTTTGAACACAAAAGGTGTGTAATCTTTTTGAGATATTCTGACCTGCTCTTTGAACAGGAGACTGCAACATCTGACTTCACCCTTGCACTTTTCTGGTTTTTCCTGTAGCTGCAAAATTTTATTAGTTCACATAAAACCAAACAAGTAAAGTTCCCAAAAGCCCGACCACTTCTTGCTTAATTTTGGCAGTGTATGCCTGAACCATTTCTTTTTGTTCTCTGAAGAACATACGGCCTGATCTACAAAACTGCAGTGGTTTACTTGGACAGTTTCAAAATTTAAGCACTTTATAACCAGCCGTCATAACCAAGTAATTATTAGCGTTACTTGTACAGCTGAGCCATGAAAAGTGCATTCAATAAAATGTTCTCATTGTATGCAGTTGGGGGTAGATGAGGAGGAATGACACCATTTCTTTCTTGTGTGTGTGTGTGTGTGTGTGTGTGTGTGTGTGTGTGTGTTCCAAAATGGGGACAGAGAAAGGGAATTATTGTTTTGTACCTCAGAATCATAGAATCATGAAGGTTGGAAAGGCTTCCCAGATCATGGAGTCCAACCTTCGATCAAAAACCACCATGCCAACTAAACCACAGCACTAAGTGCCATGTCCAGTTGTTTCTGGAATATTTTTAGGGAAGGTGAGTCCACCACTTCCCTGGGCAGACGATTTCAATGCCTATCTACCACCCTTTCAGTGAAGTTCCTTCTGATGTCCAACCTGAACCTCCTCTGGTGCTACTTAAGCCTGTGTCCGCCTGTCCTGTCAGTGATTGCCTGTGAGAAGAGACTGACTCCCACCTGGCTACAGCCTCCTTTCAGGCAGTTGTAGAGAGTGATAAGGTCACCCCTGAGCCTCCTCCTCCCCAGCTCCCTCAGCTACTCCTCACAGGACTTACTCTCTAGGCCATTCACCAGCTTTGTTGTCCTCCTCTGGAAGTGCTCCAGCAAACTTTGTCTTACACAACTTGATCTGGTCTGCTACGAACTGGCTCCATGTCACCATGCTTATTAGATAAGTTCTAATGGATTCGCCCATATTATTATTCTGATTCCAATTCTGATCCTGAATGGTTTCTGCAAGTTCCACATACCAAATCATCAGATTGATACTAATGAAAGTAATGAATGAGAAATCTAACAAATGTAATTTTGTGCTTCTCATGTCAGTATAAAAATACCCTACCTAGAGTGCCTCAATATTGCTGGTTGTATTCCTGGTTCAGTATTGCAAGAGATAACTTGCGCTGAAAAATAAAGGAGGATGTACAAGAGATTTGTTGCTGTTAATAATTTGTTGAAGGAAATAGAAGCCAGACATTGTTATGGGAAAACAAATTCACAAGACTGTTTAAAATAACATAAAAAGCACATAAATGTAAAGAATGAGAGATGCTGAAGGCTTTCAAGCACAGGTTTTAAGACAGCACTACCCCATAACATCTCTGAGTTTGTTTTGTCCTTCCCTTGGAATGCTGAAAGGATTTCTGCCCTCAAGGTCCAGGGAAGATATCTACTGTCCTCTTCTGCATTCACATCCCTTGACTGTGATAGTCCTGTGTTGGATCAGCTGGGATTTAGGGCACTCCCTCTTATGAAAGTCAGCTCCATCTCTTGCTTGTCAATTTAAGCCTCAAAATCAACCAG